TTCGCGTCAAATTTTGTGAGAAGACTAAGAAATGTACAGGCAATCTTATGGTGTAAGAATTTTGACAATCGGTTGGTAAACAATTGAAATATGAACGTGTAAGCACAAAATTGTGATTGCTGCGTTTCCCGCGTCGGCCGATCCCGCCTCAGCCGGCGACATGTTACTCTTAGCAGGTCTCTAACTGCCATATTTATAATTGGATTAACTAGAAATTCCCCATACATACTCAAAAAGGCATATTCTTTCGTATAGTGAAGATAAAAAGCCGTGAAGATATCGTTGCGTGATAATGTTTTCGTTGAATTTTTGGCTTCATGATGCATTTCCACACGGCTCAAAATTCACCGCAAAATACCGTTTGCCTGTCGCCTGAGACACTTTTACTATGGAACTTGAATGCTTGACTACGATGACTATGTATTTCCATTCTCACAGAGTTAGAGATATCACTAATCAGCAATCATTCATTTCAGAAAGTGTACACAAGCAAGCATGTCTTGACTCTGTCTTTCAAGGTCACGCGCGGTTGCGTGATGTTGATGTATGAAAACGGCATTTGCCGCGAGAGTTATGAATGGCCCACTCCAATTTTTTCACAGATGGTTAGGAACATTGTGACGGACTTAATATGTAAAAATTACCCGAATCGAAGGTGACGTGTTTTTTGCTATTTAAATTTTTCTGTTTTAATTCAAGGTCAAATGCATTTCAAGGTCACTTCAATTTAATTTCATAATTAAAAATCAAAGCCTTATCAATTGCCTACAAGACCCTGTTAAAATCATTTTGATATCAGAAAAGGAACCAGAGTTATAGACATTTAAAAAATTGATGTGTGGCATTTTTGGCTATATTCGATGACCTATATCTCAGCGATACTTTATCAAATTTCGAAAATATTATACGTAACTCAGTTTTGAACCATGCCCAGTCTGCCTACAAATTTTCAGAAAAATCGAAGGGGATGACGGATTTCGGTGTTTGATTTGACGTGGAATGCCCCCTATGTCGTAAAATGACTGTCAGATACTCGCAAGTTCAAAGACCGCTAGCGTGCGTTCATTTCGTACAAATGGCAAAAATTATGCATGGCAATGATCCCCAAAGTCTGCTGCTTCTAATGCAGGGTCACAGAGAGCCGTATCTTTTTTTGGTTTGGCGTTGATCTAACTATTTGTCATCATGTTGCAATCGCAGTTTTTTACTAAAAAATATTTGCTTTCGTAATTTCACCTACAGCAGTTTACACATTGTGTGCCCGTTAGTGCACCATACCACAGCATTCCCTAATCATTTCTGAGCCGCACTGTGAAAGAATTAAAGGTAGTGTGCCACCTTTGAAAGATTTCCCATTTTATTTTTCCTAGGATAAGAAGCTTCTGTTTTTACCTAATATCGCAAAAAAAAAATCAAAAATGGGCCTGGAATGGTGCCTTTTTCGCCTAAAAGTTTATCGGTTTTTAGATATGTATAACAACTGTAGTGGGCTCACCTGCAAACAGGCGTCGGGCAACAATCGCGAATGCGGCGCACTTGTGAGTTGTGACAATAAGCAAAGGTCATTATAGTGTTACGACCATACGACGTACGGGAATGAGTTATCAGCTGTCTAATCGTAGACAACACAATGTCGAGCCTTAAACTGTAAGCCCGTATTGGTATTGTTTCTTTTATTTGGCTGTCGAACATTATTTATGGTTTGAAATATAATTCTATGTAAAATAATTTATATGAAAAAGCCGTCTTATAAGTTATGACCCCATTTCACCACACGCAAGTGGCAGAAATGACAATGATCAGCTGACGCATTTTTCTTGGCCGAAGTCAGAGCGCGCAGCCCGACGCACCACCACCGCACCACAAAGTATGAGCAGAAGCCGCGCCCAAAGCCAGGGCCCCGGTAACGTGAGGTAGCCGAGTCGGGGCAGCGTGCGCTGACCCAAGCCGGGGCCGCAGCTTTGGGCGCGGTCTACCGCATCCCCGCGGGCAGCCCCGGGCTATCACATGACACCGGGAGGACGCGCGGCTCCGGCTTGGGTCAGCGCACGCTGCCCTGACTCGGCTACCTCACGTTACCGGGGCCCTGGCTTTGGGCGTGGTCTACCGCACCACCTAACAGGCGTGTTCGAAACCGCAGGAGCTGATGATGAACGGGTTTATCGAAACTTGATTGGATGAGCATATCGGTAATAGCGATTTCAGTGTGTGCATTTATTGTTCATAGTGGTGTGAAATGTGGTTGGGGTACGACCGACAACCCGTCGGGGCGAATTTCGCACTGGGGTACTCAAAATTTGAAGAATTTAAGACGTTTCCATGAGTTTTGAAGGTATGGATAAGTTCTAAAAATCCGGTTCTCCTTATCTGGGCCATTAACTCCATACGGTCCAAGAAAGCTGGCACACTACCTTTAAGGCGCTAGCACAGGGCTGACCGTCGCTACTAAAGTTTTCGTCCGTTGCGGTCGGGTGCTGCGGTGGGCGGGCGGCCACAGCGGGGGTTCGCCGGTGCATCCCTCTCCTATTCCTAAACGAAGTGTCCTAGCGCCTCGCAACAAAAACCAACGGATTGCCCTTGACAAGATCTCGCGAGTGAGCATATTACTTTTGACTTAAGGTCAATATTTGACCTACTTATAGCAGGTCAAAGTCAAACGTCTGTCGAAATTGCAATCCGCGGTGAAAGCAATCCGCCCCGACCGCGGCACCCGACCGCGCCGGACAAAAACTTCAAATAGCGCTGGTCTGCCCTGTGCTAACGCCTTAATTCTTTCACGGTGTGGCTTAGAAATGATAAGGAAATGCTATGGTATGAAGCACTAACGGGCACACACTGTGTTAGCTGCTGTAGGTGAAACGAAAGCAAATATTTTTCACGAAAAAATGTTATTGAAACATGATGAGAGATGATTAGATCACCGCCAAACCAAAAGAGATACGGCTTTTTGTGACCCAGCATGAGAAGCAGCAGGCCTTAGGGATCATTGCCATGCATAATTTTTGTAGTTTCTATTAAATGAGCGCACGCTAGCGGCGTTTGAACTTGCAAGTATCCGACAGTCATTTTACGACATAGAAAATGTCACGACTTCTGACAATCATACACGAGGCCGGTTTTGACAAAAACATGAAAGCTATGCGATTTCAGATGCACCAAACATTTCTTTGGTTAGCCATATCGCGATTTACTCGGTTTGGTAAACTTGACTTTTTGATATTTATGGCCACTCGTGAACCCCATTTGCATCACTGTGGACCGCCCGGGGGCACCAGCTGATGGCTGAGACGACTGAGCCGACTGGCGCCGGTCGCTCGACCTCCAGACCGGTTCGGGCCAGGTCAGGGACGTATAGATGAGAGGACGGATGGCGGAGGCTGCCTCCGCGGTCATGGAGAGGAAGAGGGAGAGGGAGAGGAGAGGAGAGAAGAGGGAGGTAGGGAGAGAGAGAGAGAGAGAGAGAGAGAGAGAGAGAGAGAGAGAGAGAGAGAGAGAGAGAGAGAGAGAGAGAGAGAGAGAGAGAGAGAGAGAGAGAGAGAGAGAGAGAGAGAGAAGGGCAGACAGACAGACAGACAGACAGACAGACAGACGCAAATACACGTAAGATAACAGATAAGTCAGAAGAGGGCTGGAGAGGAGAGGTGTTTTTATCCCCCAGCTGATAGCTCCAGACTGACCGATAATGGAACAGTCAGTAAGTCGTCTGACTCTTGTGACAGACGGGTGCCCGAGAACAATCGGGTTGGAACAGAGGCCTCCCAGAGGTCACCAATCCATCCATACGTGGATCGGTGACCTTAGCGGGTAGCATTGGGAACCGTTCTCCAAATGAAGAGCCGCCGCGTTGGAGGGCAGAGAGGAGGGCTCGGCAGCCGTATAGCACTAACGGCAGTCTGTCTCCCAGTCTGTTCACACAAACGGCAGTCGGTATCACAGGTCTGCTCACACAAACGGCAGTCTGTCTCCCGGTCTGCTCACACAAACGGCAGTCTGTCTTCCCGGCCTGCTCACACGAACGACCCAGACCAGACGGGTGGGACCTGAACTTCAGTGGAAAGTGTCCATATTCATTATCCTGACACGGATGAAGCCACAAAGCAGCCGAGCTCCTCTCCCGGAATTATGCAACCCGCTACCTTTTCAATATGTAACGCTTAATACAGCACGCGGAGGTATCGTTTGTCCGCAACCAAATATCCCCCTACGGAAATGAAGAAATGGAACATCACTCCGACAACCAACAAAAAGCGCAACTAACACACACGCCCAACACGGAACTACCAACGGTTGTTGGATGAATAAAATAAAAAATATAACGGTGAATGTAAGTAGTACTCGCCTCGGTCATCCATAATCATATTGTCTATCAGGTATACGCCAATGACGCAGCAGCAAACATATCACTTGATATAGAAATAGAGCAAAAAATTATTACGGCTGCTACTTCAATGCCATAAAGAACCATCTATTTATAGCAGAGGGGCACCTCAAAGGCCGTTGCTGATTGGAGTTGAACATAGCCAGCACACGGACATACCGAATCTCGTTGTTCGGTGACGTTAATTGAAAAGATACGAGCTGATAACAAACCACTAAACCGTGGCAATTTCACATAATCCTTTAATGTCAGTCGATGAGTTAACGTCGACAACCAGCATTGACATTTCTAGACAGAAATGACGTAATCTAAATGCTGTCAAAATATCCTGACAGAAAACAGTGCATTAAGAGAAAATGTGGCCACTGTGCTGTACCGATCTCCACTAAGCTGTGCTGTCCGGAAGAAAAGTAAGTGTTATGAACATCTGTAAAAAGTGACTTTCAGCCAAAGGAATGCGCTGGTTTGCTTCCATAAGCAGGATTGGCGGAGTTATTTAGGTGCTAGACAATTCTTGCACACCAGGGGCACTTTTAACTTTATGAAGGTTCACCGTTTAGTCCACACAAGTCACAACATCCAAGAGGGACCAATGAGGAAGGGTGGCGCCCTTTGAACTCACCGTTGTAGCTGATGCGCGGCTTGGTCAGGCACATGACGATGTGGCACTCGACATCGTCCGGCAGAACAAACTTGTTACACACCGGACACTTGATGCCTGCCGACGGGACACAGACGTGCGTCAGAGCTCAGACGACATCCCGACACCGCTGGCGGAGGTGAAGGGTGCTCGTCGCCCACATGTTCAGTCAGCAGACCGGTGTCGTAAGGAGCAACAAATGGTCGAGCCCCGCCACTACGATCGCACTGACACAGTCAACTGCTGGTGATATTGAGGAGGAATCCGGGGGATCTCACGACTCTACGCCGTTGTGTTATTGTTGACCCCAACAACACGTTGCTGGATCTGACAATGCAAGTGACTTTTTACCTGTATGCATAATTGTTCGAGTGCCTTCGAGCGTTCAATTCCCATTATCAGGCAATATCGGACCTTGAATAATGAGTACGGAGGATTTGGCGGCGCAAGCTCAACAGCACTTCACTATCGATGTTGAGGCATTGAACCAATAGCGGGGACACCGCCTGGAACGTGATAGGGAGGTGGTGTTTTGCTTGTTGATAAAGGCGCCGAGTGACATAATGAATACACGGCCGGGTGACATACTGAACATACTGTCGGGTGACACGCTGATTGAGGTGCGGCAAGTTTAGATTGACAATAGGCGGACTGGGACCGATTGAAGAAAATACATATATGCTTGGTGGCAGAAAAGGTGATTGGTCATTACTATCTGCATTGAAGATAACGATAAGGATATCATTTGCTACCGTCTGGTTATGGGTGTTTTTCATAAAACGTGCCAAGACATTTGTAAGTTGAATGACAATAAGAATCGCATTTTAACGTGAGGATTCGCATAAATTAGGTACGATTCCGTGTAACTTTATTAAGGATAATGGGATTAAGTTCGAAATAATCGGCATGCAATGGAACACAAAAACGTTGTTAGCTGTCGTTGGTAGCGGCCAGTACAAACTTTGATCAACTAATATTGGAGCGATCCTGCCGAGTACCTACGGGAATTCTTTTTTGTCATTTTCTTTCAGGTCAGTCGATGTTATGCCATATGCAGCATCGTGGCATCATCGATCGTCTGAAACTTGCCTCAGTCTGATCTGTTGCTACAAGACTGGCAGACGGCAATTTAGCAATAGAGGACGCATGCCTCTGTGCAATGTGCATAATTCCATTTGTGGCGCCAGTGTAGTTTGCAGCGAATTGTGACGATACCAAACGCTGGGGATGCAAACTCTATGTAAGGCTGCTCACAGGCAATGCGCAGTGAAATATCTGGGTAGTAGTTGCAGAGTTCCGGATCGATTCATACATATCGTATATCCTCCGGGAAAACGCGCCTCAGCCATAGTAAATTAAAACGGTAGTCATTAGCGGGTGCGTTCGGATGAGACCCATGCAGCGACCAGTAACCGGAGCCCGAGTCGGGTATGATACGGGCGTGCCGTGCTGAGCCGGCGCCGGCGGTCCCCGGCGCTCTGCCTCTCCGGGCGGCGGCGCTCACCGCAGAGGACGTGCCGCACGCGCGGCGAGCGGTCCGGGCCGCGTACCACCTCCGGCACCAGCACCTGCAGCCGGCCCGTCTCCTCCGAGCGCTGGAAGCGCAGGTTGGCCACGTCATACTGCCGGCTCCAGCCGCCGCCGAGCTCGATGGGGCCCAGCGCGGCGGCCAGCTCGGGCAGATCGGCCGGCTCGCCGCCCACGGCGCCGGCCGCCTCTGGGGGCCGCTCGGCCGGCGGAGGCGGCGCCGCGCCCGACTGTCGGCCACCAGAGCCGTTCAGCCACTCCACCAGCGAGCGTCCCTTGAACGGCAGCTCGGGCGCGCCGCAGCGGCTCACCACCACACCCATCGGTCCGGCGCGCGGCAGGCACTCAGCCCCGCCCCGTCGAGACGCTGTCGCCGCCGACGGTCGCGCCGGCGCACGACCAGATGACGTCATCAGTCCCCAGTGGGCAACTGACGTCATCGCCGCCGACCGACAGGTGTGTCGCCCGATTGCATTGAGCGATACCGCGTAATAACGAAGCCGGCGCCTGGCTATATTTGGCAGCAATCAGCCCGCTCTGAGAGACGGGCTCACAGCTCGTGAACGCTCGGCAAACCGAACGACGAAGGGCGGAAAACCGTATCACCAACGAGTGGAAACGATCCGTCAATAATGTCAGACCAATTCTCATCGCGCCGAGAGCAATGAAACGTATCACCACTGGGTGACCGAGATCGGTTCGGACAGACGAAGTGGCCTACATTGGTCACCCACCGTTTCCGCCAGTGTCCCTATCGACTTCCGGTGTGCTATGCCGCAATGGCATGAGCTGCAGAACGAACTCAATGACCGTCCGGGTCCAGCCAGGCTGTCAGCGTGACTTGACCCAGCACGGGTCACAGACGGTAGATGGACGCTAGATTCTCACAGGACCACGGCACTGTCGGGACCGGGCTGATTTCATGGCGTTGCGTAACCAGCAACAGGTTGATAAGGCGGTCTATCGGAAGCCATGTGCCCAAGCTGCGTCGCAAACTCGAGGTACAAGCGTAGTTAGATGTGAAACTTGACAGAGTATTACAAAATTTTTACAAGAAAGGCACATGGTGCGAGTGAGAAGCCCGTCAGGTCTCACCGACTGTGAGGACATCCGCAAGACTAGTGCACATCATGCATGGCAAAATATCTCTCACAAGAAATGGGTACAGCCAAGTTTCAAAAACACACTGAAGACTTCAATTATTTAGCAACAACTAAAAGCATGACAGTAACGTAGGGCCACTAACTCGATATGATTGGGTCGATTTTTCAGGAAAAGTGACCACCAAAATAGCTATTAATGGTAACAGACAGAAAGGTTGGCTGTAGGGTTATCATGTGGAATAGTGATGAGGTCAACTAGCACCCTGTAGTTCTAGTTGCATCCTTCAATAACACAGCTTGGATAATGCAACACAACAAACAGATCAGTGCACACCTAGCACCTACCCAATTTGGACAACCACCTGACCAAACATGCACAAGTTTAACAGGAACTGGATCACATTGATTAGCCTGGGTTGAAATAACACTTATGTCTGCAATATGTTTCAATTATGTTCTTTAATAGATGTTGATGTTGACATCCAATCACTTTTTAAATTTAGCAAAGACACAGTCCAATTACACTTCATCATCAGCCCAAGATCATGTCATGGCTCATTTAACATAATAAATGCTGGACAAACCATAAAATCATAAACAACCAGCCAATTGATGATGACCGTTTTAGGTTGAAGACAATTTGTCATGCTTCAAGTCTTGAGACCTTTGATGTGCCAAACAGAGTCATTTTGTTTGTACTAACCAATCTTCAGACCAAACCTGCCAATCTTATGTCATCAGGATTCAATATGATACAACATGAATGATGTATGGAAAAAACAGGCACTCACAAGTCACAAAGCATAAAAATTAGCATTGAATTAATGCAGTTCATCATTTTCTGGTTAGAGGCATTATATAACAACAATATAGAATGAGATTGAGAAGCATGGCAAAGTTGACCATGGCAATCTCAGCTTGGACAATGAAATCACAAATGATTCAATAATGATTGTTACATAAGTTAAATGTAATACATAATCATCATATAGCTTATGCACATGCATGCTAAAGCATAGGAAAAGTTGGACAAGTTAGGTCCCATCATGTGCAAGAACATGGCAATGATTATCAAACTCATTCAACTAGCCAACCCCACAAAAGTGAAGCTTAATCACTTACCATTTGGACTGAGAGACCACAAGTTTCCAGGAAGAGAGTGAGCACCCAGGAATCGCCCAATACCTCCATTTTCAGCAAGTGATTCAAGAGAATTGAAGTTGGCTTGCTGGCTGCCAACATCAATTGATCTGCCCCTCAAAAAACTTCCAACTCCTCCCAAGCCAAATGTGGGACCACTTGATTCAGATGTGCTGGCATCTGGAACATATGATAGGGACCTTGCTCTGGCCCTCTCCGAGCTGGATTGCGATCCTGATGGGCCAGCCGCTGAGCTTGATGGACTTCCACCATAATATGCAGAACTTCCATCTATGCTTGGATAAGGTCGCTCCCTGCCTCCAGGACTTGCTTGAGCTGTGCTTGGCTTCGCACCCATGATAATTGACACTTACTATGTCAAAGGAAAAATAACTGAGCATATAGAAACATTCTGGCAGCTTGAGTGATCTTCTTGTTGCTGTCCTTCAAAGCCAAAGCCGGACTTAAGCCGGCCAGCCTGACAGCTCATGCAACAACCATTGAACGAAATTACGGTCTCTGCAGTATCACAGAACTGCAAATAGCGAAATTCAACCCCACCCACACAGCCCGCAGCCAGGATCAAACCGACCAAAACAAGCAAAATAAACAACTGAACTTCCGACGCCTATCGCAATCACGCGGAGTTATGCGTATTTTACATCTTCGGCGCGGCTGCGGCAAAAAAGGCTTCCATATTCAATACATATTTTTACCTACAAGGAAGGAATAAAACTTTGCACCTCCTCATGCCAAAATAAAGGCCCACTAAACCAAAAATTAAGTGATTTGTTGATATAACTACCAGCTTTAGGTCAATAGCCGACGAAAAAGTATTACATCATGCGCATCGCGTTAGCACTAGTCCATTCCAACAGAACGTGCAAAATGAGCCGTTTTATGGGTATGCACTTCGGCATGCATAAAATAGCATGCATTTCAAGAGCTAAATATATGGCAAACAGCATCCCAACCAAAAGTTACATACTTTAAACATATCTCCGTGGTTATTAATTTCACTCTTTCTCCAAACTTACACCCAAAAATTACTTCCCAGTCATGCACCAGCCTCCAGAGACCAGGGCCTGACCTATTACTACCTGGATAGGGGGATACCCGGACAGATCATGCAGGTGCTGAGGAGGCGGATGAGCCGACAGCTTATCACTAGCACATCTGTGTTTATGCCCAAGTGCCTGCGCCTTTCTACCCCCGCATCTCCGAATTCCGACAGACACCCTAAAAAGAAAAGAAAATTCCTCGTAATAAACCCCAGCGCAACTTGAAATCTGTCAAGGGCAGTGGAACCGAAGTAATCTTTAGGTAGAACTGCCGAGTCGCGTTCAAATAGACGCGCCTCGGAGGTTGTCATGTGGCATGGCGATGCCCTTCCCATCAGTGTTACCCTGAGCGAGTTTGTCGAAAGCCGCTCAGAGACGTAACTCTTACGCTATTAGTTTGGATCCACCGGTTCAATTCCTTCGCAGTGTCTCGCAAACTCATAAGCGTGACGAAGCCCAAAAAAGTCAGTCCTATGTTGTTGTGGTGCAGCAGTGCCAATCGGCGACAGTTAGTGTGCCTAATAAGACACTAGGGCGTGGAATTTTGCAGGGACATTTTACAAACCATTCTTCCGCACAAATGAACGTTCAGTGTCCAGACAATATGACATTAATCGCACTGCCCTAGCTGTGTGATGTACGGCATCTCGTCCCCCGTCTGGGTACACCCGCTCAGTCCCGGAGGCGCTCGCCGATGCTCGTGCGCACGGTGCCGGACCCCTGATCACGCATGCACATAGGCGGATCGAACACTCAGGCACTCGGTCGAGCAGCGCTCCGGACTGGCGACCGGAAACAGCCACTTAGCCAGCCTTATATATTATCCGGATACTGACAAACAAATAAGGAAGTTAATGCGCCTTCTGACCCGAACAAAGCGGTAATACAATGCTTTTAATAAGCATCCCCCACACAATTTGAATAAGCATGCCTAGAGTCCAAATCATTTCCTTCTTTCCCTTTTCCTGATGAAGTACCCTCTAAACATGAGTATAGTGGGATACCACGACCGGCACTGACGTCCCAGCGTGGCGGGACGCGGGACTGGCGCCGCCAGCCCCGACTCTGGTCTCAGATTCATGCAGCCCAAGGCCGCCAACACATTCAACAAAAGGGAAACACGGAAATACATGACAGGACACGACACCATGTGCGCACGAGCAGATGCGAAACCCCTTCGAGAGCGCAGGCGCCCTCCTATCGCCGTACAATTGCTAGTCTATGATACTTATCTACAATAAAATCGAAAAAGTTATAAATAAGGTCGTGCGGGGAGGAGTGCAGGGCGGGCAGAGCCCGGCTCACACAGGCCCGCAGGCCTCAGTTCACTTGCTAGATGATGCACCACTGTGTCAGTTCGTGATCGGACGAGATCACACGAGGCGGTGATCAGTTCACAAGCCCTCAGTTCAGCGGCACGCCGGCCGTCAGCACATGCTAGCTGCGCTGAGCGAACCGGCCACCGGGAGCGCGCACTCCGCAGGGACCAACGTGCGGCGGCGGCCGCAGCCGCGATGCCGCACCACCCGTGCGTGCCGCGCGATAGCGCCGTCAACTCAACCGATCATCACTTCCCAATGGCGAGACTCAGGCTTTATTCACTCCTCCGTCAGGCGCAGCGTGTCGGGGGCACCCGAGACTCGATCACCGTGGGCAGCGAGACAGGACGGACGGACGGGCGGCCGCACCACCTAAATCAGGTCGGCCACGTTGTTGGGCATCTCCTCGATCTCCGTATGATAAAACTCCTCTATGTCCTTCAGCGCGCGGCTGTCACTCTCCGTCACGAAGTTGATGGCCACTCCCTTGCGGCCGAACCGTCCACTGCGTCCGATCCTGCAGGGCGACACGCAGCCGTGAGTAGGGAGCCCGACCGGCACCGACAACAGGCACAAACGAGCGGGGTGTCCTAGCAAGCAGCACAATGGCAGGCCATGTCGGTCGGAACCAAAAAGCAGTGATCGAGCAAACACGTTTGATGGCAGTTTCGGGGCTGATAACGAGCGTCGATGCATAGAAAACAATGGACGAATTATAAAAAAGCTAAAGATCAGTCTATGAGGTACTCCAGCAACGCACAAACAGCTGTCAACAAAATAGTGAGCAGTCTACGCTAAGCTCAATGCCTGTGATTCAACAGCGAACGCTCCCGTTTGTCCGTCCCACCTATGGATGTAGTTCTCGCGGTTGGTGGGCAGATCGTAGTTGATGACCAGCGACACCTGCTGGACGTCAATACCACGCGCCAGCAGGTCGGTGGTGATGAGCACACGGGACGAGCCCGAGCGGAACTCCTTCATGATCATCTCACGCTGCTTCTGGTCCATGTCGCCGTGCTGACACACACACGAACACAGGTGTTAGAACATGTGGCACAGCTTCGCTATAATCAGCGCCAATAGCCAGTGATCAGCAGAGCGATAAACAAGTCACAACATTCTTACAGTACAGAACGCTAACGGACCAAAAACAATAATCGAGACTTCCACCTACTGATACAGAACAAAGGATTGATGAACTATCCGCCTGTCCGGCCGGAAACAGCTGACGCAACCACGAACCATCGAGATTCCCGCTCGGGTTAACCGAGAACATAACATTCGCCCACGTCACCCGCCCCGGTCAGCATCGCCCCCACGACGCGCAGCGTCCTTACCATGGCCGAGACGGTGAAGTCGCGGCGGTGCATCATGTCGGTCAGCCACTCGACCTTGCGACGCAGGTTGCAGAAGATGACGGCCTGCGTGATGGTCAGCGTCTCGTACAAATCGCACAGCGTGTCCAGCTTCCACTCCTCCTTCTCCACGCGCACGAAGAACTGCTTGATACCTACGTGAGGGAGACAGAAATAAGTCACCTACTGTCACCAGCGTAGACCAGACGCAATTCCGTTTCCGATGCAGTCATTTTCATCGTTTCAAGAGTTAATTTTAACACAAATTACTAAGAGATGCGTTGTTTTGAAATACAGTGAGCAATGGGTTGATTTCACCAGACGTGAGTGACACCTGCCTGATTCATACCGCCCACGATAGCTGCAATCGCTTATCAACTGAGTCATGCCCGCCGCACCGCGATACCCACCGCCCACTTACCCTCGAGGGTCAGCTCGTCCTTCTTGACCAGGATGCGGATGGGGTCACGCATGAAGCGCGACGTCACGTCCATCACGTCGGCCGGCATGGTGGCCGACAGCAGCGTCACCTGGATGTCAGACGGCAGCGTGCGGAACACGTCGTAGATCTGGTCCTTGAAACCGCGAGACAGCATCTCGTCGGCTTCGTCCAGCACGAACATCTTGATGTAGTCGGTGCGCAGCGCGCGCCGGTTGATCATGTCCATGACGCGGCCGGGCGTGCCCACCACCACGTGCGCGCCCGACTCCAGCGAGCGCATGTCGTCGCGCACGTTGGTGCCGCCGATACAGGCGTGGCAGATGGCGTTAAGATAGTCGCCCAGCGCCAGGACCACCTTCTGGATCTGTTGGCAGACGGCGCGAGACCAACGTCAGAATGGAAGGCGCAAGGCACACGGCATACACCATCAGCTTCAGAGCTTCATATCAGGTTGTGTAGCATCTCATATTGAGGCAGTTTGACCATGAGCAGCCAACTACCTCACCCGTAGACATGCAAATAATATCCTTCCAAAATGTTACCAGAACACCTATGATCGGTGACCTGGTGCTTTGATGGAAGATGAGGACAATTTTGATCACAAAATTGATTGGAATCTGGGCCTCGTTTCATAAAGCGAGTCCGTAACTTACGTCGGTTTCTGGGCTTTTATTGCAAGCGCATGTCAAGCGATAAATTCATTTCACCTTCTCCCTTCTGCTCTTGCTTGCAAACAAATAAATTCAACGGATCAAACAGTATCGTCATCGCTTCACATGCACTTGCAATACAAGACAAAAAAAAAACCGGCGTAAGTTACGGACTCGCTTTATGAAACGAGGCCCAGAACTGGGCACATGCGTCCTATCATGGTACACTCGGGGGCAGATTGATGTTCCACAACTCTTTATCCACCGGGTTCCTATGGCTCAGCATTGGCAGCAGCCGCCTGGTACCGGTAGACTGTGCCGCTTCACTTACTTGTCAAGCGGCACAGCCTACCAACACCGTATGCCACCGGTCTGGGTCGGTGGCTGGAAGGCGATGTGGGCCGCCTGTGACGTCAGCGCAGCGGTGAGGGCCGAGCCCGGAGGCATGGCTCGGGTCGGCGCGGCGCGGCGGCTGGCGAGGGCTGGGGAGTGAGGTGGGGTGGGAGCACGGACATCGCGCGGCTGAGCGAGTGTAGTTAACTTTCGCGTCTCGAGGCGCCAATTATTCTACCTAACAATTGTGCTAAAGCAGTTGTTAAAATGTCCTATCCCCAAGACAGCGTCTATCATCATACTTGCAATGCACATTACGACACACTTAAGCGTGGCAATGGGACAGCCGATAGAACTTATGTCACTCGTGCATCGAGGTGCGGAGCTATATTTTGTATAACATATTAGTATTAAGGTTTTGATTGAGCAGATTGGTGTCTATTGTTTCGCACGGCAATCGTCCAGAGCCGTGGGAACTGGGGGTTATGAGTAGTGCCGCAGCCAACGCTCCAATTTAAAGCGATTATTACTGTTGCTCTAATATGTGGTCGCAGCCTCCAATAGCAAACCGTTCCAACTAGGAGCCAAAAAGTCGGCCACACAGGGGGGCTCGAACCGGGCTTCTCCCACCGGCCAATTCACGACACGAGCGTTCATCCACTGAGCTACCGAGAATGGTCCTCGTCCGCACAAAACAAAATGACATTCACCCGCTGACCGCCAATGACAGTATTGTGACATTTGATCGCGTTTGACCGCGGCGGGTGGTCGCTGGTTTCGGCAGCTCAGTGGATACACGCTAGCGTCGTGGGGTGACCGGTTGGAGAAACCCGGTTCGAACCGTCCCAGGTGCGCGACTTATTTGTTCCTAGATGGAGCGGTTTGCTATTGGTGGCTGCGACCACACATTAGAGGAACAGTAAGAGTTGCTTAAAGTTGGGACGCCGCGCTATCCAAAAACCCCAGTTCCCACGTCTCTGGACGATTGCTGTGCGAAATAATAGACACCAATGAGCTCAATCAAGGCCTTAATACTTATCTGTTAAAAACAATGTAGCTCCGCAACTCGATGCACGTGTGATATAAATTCTATCGGCTGTCCCAATGCCACGTTTAAGTGTGTCGTAATGTGCATGGCAAGTATGATGATAGGCGCTGTCTTGTGGATAGGACATTTCAACAACTGCTTTAGCACAATTGTTAGGTAGAATAATTGACGCCTTGAGACGCGAAAGTTAACTACACTGGCTCAGCCGCGCGATGGTCCGTGCTCCCACCCCACCTCACTCCCCAGCCCTCGCCAGCCGCCGCGCCGCGCCGACCCGAGCCATGCCTCCGGGCTCGGCCCTCACCGCTGCGCTGACGTCACAGGCGGCCCACATCGCCTTCCAGCCACCGACCCAGACCGGTGGCATACGGTGTGGGTAGGCTGTGCCGCTTGACAAGTAAGTGAAGCGGCACAGTCTACCAGTACCAGGCGGCTGCTGCCAATGCTGAGCCATAGGAACCCGGTGGATAGAGTTGTGGAACATCAATCTGCCCCCGAGTGTACCTCATGTCAGAGCTGCTACGGCTAACCAAAACAGTAGTGTTCAGGCCGGCATGTGAAGCAAATGCATTATTATTTGAGTCACAGGACAAAATACAAGTGTCAGTAGAGCGGTGTAAAGCTGAGCTGACGCTCATCAGCTACAATAATCAAACGGCCGCTACGACGTAATTTAACCAATGCCTACGTCGATAAAAGCAGACAAGCTTTTCGTCCGAAAGCTGTCGGAACTGGAAATGATAAAATTTGGCAAAAATGAGCGGGGCATATACAATGTAGATATATGAAGAGAAAAGGCACAAAGATCACATTTTACTTAGATATAAAACCAGTGACCTGTGACTAATATGCTCCGATAAAGGTACCAGATACTGTTGACTGACCTGCTGAGCCAGCTCGCGGGTGGGCGCCAGCACGAGCGCCTGGGTCTCCCGCATGCTGGTGTCGATCTGCTGCAGGATCGCCACGCTGAACGTGGCCGTCTTGCCGGTGCCCGACTGCGCCTGGGCAATCACGTCGTGCCGCTTGATGCAGGGCATGATGGCACGCTGCTGGATAGCAGACGGCCGCTCAAAGCCGTATCCGTAGATACCGCGCAGCAGGTCCTCCTTGAGGTTCATGTCATCGAAGTTGCTGACCACCTCGTCCCAGTTGGACTCGATCGTGTGGCCACCGCCGGCGGCCGACGTGTCCTCCTGGGGAACATTGCTGTTCTGTCCCCATTCCTTCTCACCACTGAAACAAAGGAAATGGGCTCAGCAAACAGCGAGGAAATGAAGGGAATTTGAGGGATGACAAGGGAACAATGAAAAGATGTTTACTGACACTGAATGTCAACTTTGGCTTTTATCTGTGACTGCTTCAACATACCTGGACGTCATCAACGCCCATGTGTTCCTTGACAAAAACTGTTTTAAGCCCCGATCACATTGTAGCACACCATATTGAGGCGGTTTGACTAAGAATCGTCAGCCACCTCACCCGTAGGAATGCCTAGTAACATTGCTGTACTTCCAATATAATAATCCAGGACACATACAAGCAGTGTACTGGCGCTTTAGAGGAAGAATGGCACTAGATTCCGACAATGTTGCGCTGCTCGGCTGCCTCCTAATATGCGAGCAGGGGGTGATGCAATCCGGTAGCTGACGTCACGGCCGAGAACGCGGGCCTGCGTACGAGCCAAACGCTGGCGAAAATCATCGCGGCATGGATGCCGGGGTAATATATTGAGGGGGCCGGGTTGGTGAGTATCGAGAGATTTGCCGATCGCAAATGATCGATGGGTGTCGTTAACCTTGCTCCACTTCTACTACTGTCTCCCATCATCGCAGCAAATCATACAATATCAATCATACAAGAACAAATTACTAAAAAAGGGAAACCATTTTTTAGTATGCTAACGCGCCATTTTTATCCAATGCGACTGCAAGTAGCGCGAGGCCAGAGCTCTTTTCCGATCGAGCCATAGGCGCGGGAGCCGGGGGGGCAGTGGGGGCAGCTTGCCCCCCCAACTCTGGGGCCGTGGGGGCGGTGCCCCCACAGCTTTGAGACGGAATACCACACTTTTTTTGCAAATGTTTTCTTTTTTTGTTGAAAAAGCCGAGGGGTGAAAAATAAGTGGCCTAAACCCGGTGAGAAAACTAGATTTGGGGGTACCCTAGGTTAATCTCTATTATGGTGTGCCCCCCCCAGTCGGAAAGTAGTTCCCGCGCCCCTGGATCGAGCAAGCGCTGCACGCAGCGAGTGGTCTGTCACATCGGGAGCACGGGTACATAAAGACAGCAGCGACTTCACACCTCACTTCTCAATGGTCAGCAGTCCATTGCCCGTCAACAAGAATGCATACTAGTATCTCGGTAGCCGGCCGCCGATCAGCACCCACGAGTGGTCCAGCAAAAACAAGGAGCATGCTCACATTTCTTGTTGAGTACCAACTGAATGTTTGAAACAGACAGATTGATGCTCATGCTAAGCAGCTTGTTGCACAGGCCTTGATCCCTTCCATCTGATCAGGCAATTATAATTAAATAAGCAATGAAGATGTTGAAAAGCATCAAACCCATCGAAGCCATACAGTCTATCCAACTAAGCAAGTTTAATCAGCTGCAGCTGCTCCCACCAACCACTAATTTCCCTGATCATGAGCCTCAAACACTGGAGCAACCCAAACACATACCCCTTGCACTATGGATGCTTGACTAGCAAATATGAGATTTAAAAGCTAAGTACACTACAGAAAGAAAAATTACACTTTTAACATGGAGTTTTGAATTGGAATAGCAGTCTTGTAGCTTGAGCTAAGACTATCACAAAACAGGAGCTCATACACCCTAATGAACACCCTAGGCAAAGAAAGTACATTTACCATTCCAAAAAGAAAGCCTTGTAGAGGAATGTGCCACTATTAGAAGAAAGCAAAGAATGTAGCATTGTAGCCCCCTGTCACAGAGGCTAATCTCAGCCAATCAGCATGCAGTTGCTTTTGAACTACACAATATAATTGGTTGATGCATAATAAGATTCTGCGCCACCACTATTTAGCCTCTACCACTGATGGAAAATAGTTCTTCCTAAAACTAATTTGAGGAAAGTAGAACATTTCCTTTAGCACACTGTCAATACTTCCCTGTTTCCACTTTCTGACACTGACAGAAAAATGATACCAGATAATTGTCCTGCAGTTACTGACTTGTTGCACTTCCATATGTTCAATGGATATCCAAAAATAACAATTTCAGTTTTCATAAAAACAGAATGTTATCCTATATTCCTAAAGTGTGTTTGAGGAGTCACCAATTAAATTTCTTGATCAATAGGTTAAAAATGAACAAAGAGGACACTGATGTAGAGGGCTTAGAGTGATTTGCAAATATAATGTGCATTTTCTACTATCCAATGTATGTAAATGTGGTAACAATTGACTAATTTAATTGTACCCTAAAACTTTGAAGCAGTCTGCTTCCCTCAGTTTTCTTCAATTTGACTGCAAAATGAACACAATGTAGCACCTGTATACAATAGTGCACTATGCTATATGTCACAAAGAATCCAAACTCCACTCAAAGCCCAAACTCCAAAGATTCAGTTTGGGCTGGTGACTAACAGCTGAAACGCTAAAAAAATGTAAGACATGGTTTTGGCACCATGTTATATGCGTTACTCAAAATGCATTTTGCCTGTGAATGTTCACAAACCTTGTCAAGAGACATTACATAGGATATCCACTTCCTGTAATACAAGCAATGTTGTTCTATCTAACTAATTATTAACTAACAGTGTGCTACCATCAACCTATGTGTACCACATTCTGCAATTAAAGCCTTTCACAAAATCAATAAAATGCAAAGTGAACAGGTATGCTACAACTTGCATGCTTTCCAATTCTCATTTTTATCCAAATGAGTCATAACTACAAGTAAATAAAAAGGTGACAGTTACTTAGGCACAAATTTGCTATAAAAGGATGGTCATTCAAGATCATCAGCTAAGCATGCATGGCTGAGTATCAAATATCAATCAGTGTCACAAAAATTTGATTTGGATGGGAAACAATATCTAAATGAAAAAAAAATTAGCACTCATTCAAAATGTACATTTCTCTTAATACACATTCATTCAGATGATAACACACAACAGCAGGTCAGCAAAATTGAAAGGTGAAAAGCAAAACCCCTATCATTTTCTAATGGTGTGTCAGCCTGATCCTACTCTTACAAGTTACAGCATTCATTACTGATATGAAGGATCTTTCCATCATCAAGTTAAGGAGGAAACTGAGCCTAATCCTACTCTTACAACATTCATTACTCATATGAATGATCTTTTCATCATTAAGTTAAGGAGGAAACTGGTCAAACAGTGCATGTGCACACACTTGGATGTTATGAACATTTACTCTATTCTAATGCTCATGAGATACTAAGGCAAAAGACATGCACCTGGAAAGAGCAGGTGTGTTTCCATAGTTGAAATTCAATATATCAGTCAATAATGTTGCAATGAATGAACTGACATTGCCACCAGTCTCCCATAAAAATTGTATAACATTCCCATTATAAGCTATATCAATTATTTACAATGTTCCCGAGAAATAACGTTGAACCACTTTCAGGATTCTCAGACTCAGTCATTCATTGGATTCTCGGAAACCCTGACAGCGGCAAGCACATAGCACGCTCTTATCAGTTTCCATATGCAAAAAAAAAAAAAATCAACCTAAACAATGGACATTGAGGGAAATACTACACCTTTTTATCAGTGGGTTTTCCTGAAACTTCCAACTTTCAAATGACTGAATAGGTGGATCACAGGCACATAATCAAGCCAAGTTTCTCGATCTAGAATGTCTGAAAAGTGTAGCTTGTTCAGCTTAAATAAAATAGAAAAAAGTAAGCTCATGCAAAACCCAGACCCATTATCATTAGATAAAATACCTGTTGTGGTGCCTTTACAACAATGCACACACCAAAACTAGCAGAAATTGCTAAGCAACTCAGAGAACACATCAAACAATAGGCCTCCAGCAGCCGTAGCCTTGCGGCATATTATACAATAAGGAATTCCGGACGGGAGCCAGACCCCGTGGATAACCTACGCCCAATTTAAGCCATTGTAAGCAAACATAGCAGGTGAAGACACCCGCAAAAGAAAACAAAACGCAAAGAATATTATCATCAGTAAAACAAGCCCTAAAATGGCGTAAAATACGAATATTACCTGTCAACTTCTTGGTTGGACATCCTGTCAGTGATCCGCTGAGCTGCGAAAAGGCCGTGAGGCGGCAAGTGGTGGATAACTTTGTAGTAAGCATCCGCGGTGACTGCTAGTATATGGTACTTTCTGGAATATTCAGCCATAAAATTCCTTCCATTTATTTTATTTTTGGAAATTCTTGGTAAACAAATGCAATTCAAGAAGGTATATCAACACATTACCAATATTTTTGCTCCTTACCACATAATCTGAATTCTAAAATCAGAATTTCCAGCACTATTTCAGATCCATTTCCGTTACAAATTATTTTAGCTTTCCACAAAATCTGCTTTGCACTTTCCAAAAACGATTTTTCAACCCTGAAACGTTTAAAAATTGAGTATTGAAAAATGTTAAACCAATTACCACTAAACGATATTGCTATCATTTAATTGAAATCTGTGCTAGCTTATAAGTTTTAGTCCTATGTAATATCGTTACAAAACAATATAGTACAAAATGTAGACCTCTTTTCTGATGTTTTGTTGTTTTCTGCTTGAAATTTTGCAAGAGAAATATTTGAAAAATTGATCAAGAGCAATTTTCAGCATAAGTGATACCAGGAAATCACTTATTTGCGGAAGGACACATCCCGTACCGGCAAGCCAGGGGGCGCGTCAGTCGCGAAACATTTTGGGTGGCGGCCGGTGAGCTCCGAGCTTGTGTGGTGTGGACTGCTTGTGGACTAAATCATCACATCAAAATGTCTTGGCAACAGTACGTAGACGATCAGCTCATCGGCACCAAAATTATTGATGAAGCGTGTCTAGCGGGTCATGATGGAGTCATCTGGGCGACGAGTCCCGGCCTCGGCGTAAGTATTACGTTTTGCGCCATGATTGTCGCGCCGCCCTGCTGTCGAGCATGAAACGCTTTTTTTAAAAGCATATTTTGTACGAACGGCGTCCTGGACGGTATTTTCGAACTGTATAATGTGAAAGTCATTCAAATGTTCAAAAATTGTGTGGTGCTAAGTCACAATTATCCGCAAGGCGCAAACTGCTTGCCTTCAGTCGTAATTACGATTGATAACATTATTTAGATGTCATGTTAAATTGTAAGTTGTTGGTATTTCTGAAGGGAGTTTTGAATAAGTAAATGTGATGAGATGCATCCACCTGAATGTTTTATAACCTGTCCTGGCTAAGAAGATGTGCATATTACTGCTTAGCTCCCAGATGACATAGGTAATGCCTCAAAATAGGAAGAGGCACTACTTTACTGGGTATGGGTAGCACTGGCTTACAACTTCTCTGTTGCATAAAGAATCAAAGGTATGTTTATTCAAAATATGACAACATTAGAGATTGCATGCACATGACATAGCCAAATAAAAAAGAAATCAATGCAAATTTATTAAAAACAAGTATTTACTTCTAACTTAATTTGCAAATACAAGTAAGAAAAGTTGTATTAATGAAGAAAAGGCGCTTCAGAGAGTATGCACAGATACCATTGCTGATACAATGAAGCCCTACAATAAATATAACCCTGATTATTATAATTAATATAACCTGATATAACATGAACATTGTTGCTGATAGAGAAGGTGTATGCCAGTGCTATTTTTACTCCCTGCTGGAGAAGATTTCCCTGATGGTTACCAATGAGCTAATTCAGTAACCAGTGAGTTGTCTTTCCCTGGCTGGTTGGAAAATTATTTCATAAGGGTGTCAAAATTGAATTCTTAACTTTTATAAAGGCTTGAAACACTAGAATCAAGTTCAAGCTGCATAGCTTTCCATTTCAGTTCAAAAGCTCATGCTTAAAGTTGAGCATTCCTTTCAGTGATTGATAGCCATGTGCTCTTAATTTAGTAAATTGTCCCTGAAGTGTCCCAGTCCCTGCTCATTCCAGGGAGGCTCTCCTGTTCTAATGCACCTGTTGGTGTCAGGCTTTAGCATTTGCTTTATGTTGTTGGAAAATGACCAGGAAATAGAAGCAAATTATGCTGAAGGATTGATGAAGAAGTGCTAACATAGGCATGCCATAAGTTTCATGTCGCTATGCATACTGTCTAATGCATAAGCCTTTCCATTGCTTATATGGAAGAATATATTTGATCATCACTTGCTTAAATTGCTCCTTCCCTGTACAAGCATAGTGGAGATGGTGCTGGTATTTAGTATGCGTGATACACAAGGCTCTGAAACCCTGGTCCCTGTTAAATGCTCTTGAGGTTTATAGTTCCCATGAAGGTGCATTTATTATTAGTTTATCTTAAGATTCAGCTAGATTTTACATTGCAAGTTGAGTGGTTCATTTGCTAGTAATTCATGTCTCATTGATAATAGCAGTGGAAAACAGACATGAATGAACCTTAGTCCTTTAGTTATCCCATCTATTCAAGAAAGTTGAATGTTCTTTTGCCATTGGGTAAACAAGTCTTTCATGTCCACTTTGATATCAAGGTAAAAAATGTCTTCTCTGGAAATTAATAGTTTGACATCAGTTGGTGACATACCAGGGAAATAAGCTAAAATTAGAGCGCTCTATTAATTGCTCCTGCCCCATGTTGAAGAGATACCCCTAAAAGCGTGATCTTCTATCGGCCCTTACGCAGCAAGGCAGTACTTCTCAGACCGGTGGATGGTACCAATAGAAAGAGAATGCGTCAAAGATTAACATGAATAAATTAAAATAACATTAAAATGTTAATTAAGCGTAGAAACAAGTCCCAAACATAAGCTAATTATTGCTCCTACCTCGGCGACGGCGCTCCCCGCAGTCAGCGGAGAAGCTAAAATAAAAGCCACCATCCTCCTCCGTAAGTCAATTTTAGAGCGGCCGAGTGGACCGATGCGGGGCCACCAAACTGAGATAAGACGTGGCTAGCAATTGCAAACCGCCATAGAAATCAATATCTTAAGACGTACAATATGGGATGATTACTCTGAAGCTGGAGTGAAAGCATGAGTAGATTGCAAGAAACGAAATGCATAGATTAGTTGAATTATGTACGATAGGCACAGCTCAATAGATGAAGCCATTTCTATGATGTTGACATTTGACATAACCCTTCCTCTCCTCACCTTAGTAAGTGCATTGGCAGTTGCCGGCATAGTTTTTGAGCACGAGTGTAATTCGCCATCGGACCGCAATGCATGTTGCTAGGCGGCTGCATTTGCAACGAACATACGAATACTGCCTTCTTTTGTAGAGTTTGTTTTTTAGGCGATCTTTGACGTAGAAGGGGCATACCTGTCGACAACTTGAGTTTCTCCGAATTTCAAAAACTCCCAGAATTTCAATTCCTTATGCACTGTTGTAGGTACAGCTATGTTCACAAGTTTTCGTTTCCTCCTGTTCTAAAAAGGATGATATTTGTCGATTTCGTGCGTCGCTGATAGGAGGGTGCGTTTAATAATTAGGCCCAACGCTTTCTGCATCCGCGAGTACCTTCAAAAGGGAACAACAGTTTCCATTTATTACACTATGGGACATGTGACAAAATGACCACTGGAACACGCATGAAACGGAGCTCATATTCCTAAAAATGTCTACAAGCACTTCTTTTCTGACACTATTAGCAAATACCATCTCAAGTTAGGTGGTTGACAGACAGTCAATGGAGATCTGGGGAGACTGAGTGATGCCAATTCACCACTTAACTGATAATGAGGGCCGAGGGGAAAGAAACATGCAACATGCACAACTGACAACTTGACAAGTGATAAAACACTACCACTATTGCGCAGTGCACAACAAATTACAGCAGCCAGCCCAAAAATACTTTTGGTGACTACTGGCTAATTGCAAAACAAGTCACTAATAAATGTCTTAGTTGCAGCTGAACACTGCACAATGATCACACTGTTCACGCATTGAGTGAGATGCCACAGGTGGTTTGAATCACACTTTGGTACAACTGCAAATCTGAAGTGTTGTCATGAGGTTCATGCCTCCATGATCACTTTGGTTGTGGTTGGCATAACACTTGTAGTCTGCAGAGTTCCACATGAACTGCAGACACCTCATCTGGTGGTCTTCATGTTGCTCAACTTCTTCAGGAGGCAAATGTCGACCACCCAGCGGAAGCATGGTCCTGCAGAAAAGAAAGGTAATGCATAAGGTACAAACATTATCTGCTGAAACAGCCCCTTCTGTTGCCTGTTATTAAACTTTTAACATAACCTAACAACATGTATTCCATGTATATTACATTTGTTGAAGTAAAATACTGCCGGCTATTTCAAAACCAGAAAATGAAATTATATTGAGGCATAATTCACATGCTCGGCTATCAGTATCAAATAATAAATTAATTTAAAATTTGGCATATTCTATAAAACACTCATAGAATATTCTACTTCACATCACAAGGACAATCTTTGTTGGGTGTTTGATTGACGCATTGGCTAAGTTTGTCTTAGGTTTTATTATTGCAAAAAATTCATATTGCATTATTGTATCAAAATACTGCCAGCAATAACAAAACAAGAACATGAAATGTCAATGAGCAACCCGCCTTTCCTAAAAATGGGTTACTTTGAAAAGAATTTTAGTTTCTTTTAAGGAAAAGGAGAAATGCTTATCAGGTAATTATCAAAAAACCACTCAACCAGCAAGTGGCTGGGTGGTTTCACAGCAAACATCAAGCCAAAACATATATTTACATTTATCTAACAATTGAGCCATTTGACTACTACCAGGATATGTGAGCAAAATAAGCATCCAATTATCCAATGTTGACTTACTTGCAAAGTTTATGCCTTATGTTATGAAAATGTGTCACTAGAATATGATACTTATCATCGAATATTATTTAATTTACGATTTATTTCGATCGAAACGCACATGGAGTTCCGCGCCATTTTCGTCGACGATGAATATGATCGTGTTTCAAGAAGAGATAAGGGGTTTCAATGGTCTTTCAAAGCAATAATTTGATGCAAAATTTGGTAGGAAATAATATAAAGCTCGTTCAAATGGCCATCAACCATTTAAAACACCGAAAATACTCACAACTCCGTCCCAACGACCACGCAGCACCGCGCACGCCACACAACTGGCACAATGCCAAAACTGCTGTCACAGCAGAAATGTTTTTTTTTCTCGATTGCAATTGTGGAATTATTTATTAAACAGAAGATGATCTTTCCGAAAAAGAGACTGATTTTATACACAGTTGCATGGAAAATAAAAAAATCCCGGTAAGTTTATTTGTATTGTTTTGTCGATTTTGACATGCTCCTAGTTTGCAGCCATATTTCGATAAGTTCTACAGGGAGTTCAAAATTATTTCAGGACCAATCTTTTCCTCGTTCATTTTCCCGTCGATCATGAAATTTTTAGAGCGGAACAATTAGTTTCCAGGCGGTCCGAGCGGTTTTCGTGAGAAGGGTGCAAAAATCGGCGTCATTTTTAGAGCTTCGACACCAGCTCAACACAGGACCCTATGGGAGACGGTGAAGTAGCGGAAGCAATAAATAGAGCGCTCTAATTTTAGCTTATTTCCCTGGTGTGTCACCGACTGACATGAAAAGGTATGAGCTATGTGGCATATGCTGTGAAATAATGTTTAGCTATTTAACTTGCAACTCTCAATCCACAGAACAATTGTTTACAAAAATGCATGATTAGGTATCTCATTTGAGCATAAATATGCTTAACTTTTCATGCTTAGCAAGAAATACCAAGATATAATGTTGCATTGTGGATCTTTGGACCTGATACTATAAAATATGTGTTAACAACTAACATGTTTATTTTTTTTTACAATATTTGCAAAAATTAAAAGAAATTTGAAACATTTGACTTTTTGATTCTTAACCAAGAAGGAATTGTGATATGATGCAACATATTTTCACAATGTTAACTGGATGAACAAACTAGATGTAAACCTATATTCAGTTTACAATTCATTTTGCTTGTGATGTCATTTCAACTTTGTTATGTTCATGTTATGGATGGTATGGACACATTGTTCACATTTGAACAGATTATTGGTGCCTATATTGTCCATACCACGTAGTGGCTTGTGCTGCTCTTGATGCATTTCACTTTGTGTTTTGGCTAGCTAAAAATTTGCCACCTTTTTCCCCAGTAGATGGGACATTCAAGTTGACCTTGAACTGAATGCCCGGGGATCTCGGACGACCAATAAGTTCCTAAGATGTACAAGAGTATGCCTTTTGATGCATGACACGGTGCGAGAAATGTTATCTTTGATGACCCCGTATTATCTTCGAGCTCGATTTTCTATTATGTGACTGAATGCTTACTCTGGGATATTGCACTCCACTTCTTTTGCTGTATGGTCTATGAGCTGAGTTTGTGTGTGGGTGGAGGGGGAGGGGAAGGGGTCCGAAGCGAGCCCGGCCCACGTGGCTGTGAATCATCAGCGGTGTGCGTTTCAGTGACTTGTTTCGATATATGTATCGTTAGCCTCGATTGCTATGTCTCGGACGATGCAGATGGCTGGATGTGATTTGGTTGATCTCCTCCATGCTATTGTTTCATGTTTTATTCAAACATTAAGTAGTTTCAGTTCCTTTTTAAAAGCCTTACGTCTACCAAAGCAGTGAATTTCATCTGCTTTTGCTTATATTTGATGGTCGTATTTGATGGTCTATTTCATTGACTCTCTTCAAAATTTTGCTGACCTTGAACTAGTTTTGGCTTATAATTCAATTTGAATCAGTTCAGATAATTTTAAACTTTATTTACACCAAATTAATGTGTTACCGAGTGATGAACACAAGGCTGCGAATAATGTATCGTGTTGGGGAATCTGTCCTTCCTCCTACAGGCTATTTGACGTCCTCTCAGACTTGCCGGGTTTCTGACCGTCTATCTCTCTCTCCCTCTCCCTCAGGCGCAGCCCGATCAGATCAAAACCCTGGTGCAGGCAATGGACAACTCAGACGTAGTGACCACCAACGGCTTCAGCATAGGCGACATGAAGTACGTCTACCTCTCCAGCATCCCCGGCAAAGTGATCCGGGGCAAGGCCAAGGGACAAAAGTCCGGCGTCCACGTTTGCCTGACCAAGCAAGGTGAGACGATGGGCTGGGGTGATACTGCCTGAGCCAGTGGCTGTCTGCTTTGTCGTCACGAGTATGATGATGGCAGATTGAGGTGATGTTGATTGAGCAAGTTGAGTGTATGAACCCCCCCCCCCCCCCCTCCCCATCCGAGCTGTGTGAAGTAGGGTTCGTGGTGCAATTCAGTTATGGAAACGTCTTATTACGGAGCGAGCGAAGCGAGCGTAGTCTTTCCTTAGATTAACGGAAATTTCTGAGTATGAGCGGCCGGCCGGCCGGCCGGCCGGCCGTGGTCACGATTCTGCGACGCTTATATCTCAGCAACCACTTGACCGATTTACACGCGGTAAATTTTGTTGGGCAGCTTCATTCCTTCTACCAAGTATTGGACTATTCTCGATATATGTGGGTGACCCCTTACGCACGTGCCACGTGCAAAACGAAGAGGTGTCACTTTTGTAATTGTTGCAATATCTCGGTAACTACTTGGCCGATTGCGCTGAAAGTTGGCATGTAGGTAGGCATCCACTAGGCACTGCATATCCATATGCCAGAGTTGGGGTGCTGCTGCACGTGCGCACGTGCAGGGGTCGATTCCAGATCTCGAGAACGGCTGAAGCGATGGCGCTCAAATTTGGTACATGGTTAGGGACCGGTTAGTAGGGTGCCGTGCAAAAGTCAGTTGGGACCCATTTTGCACGTGCGCACGTGCAGGGTGCCGCTTCCAGATCTCGAGAACGGCTGGGCCGATTGTGCTCAAATTTGGCACATCGCTAGAGACCAGCTAGTAGGGTGCCGTGCACAAGTCAGTTGGAGGTACCCTCTCGCAATTTCGCACGTGCAGGGCCCACCCTCTCGCTCGCTCCGTTGGTCGCCCCAAAAGGCGTTATACTGGTACTTCGATCATCTCGGCTGTGCGTCACATGTAGACGGTTTCTTAGTGACCACGCTAGTCGATGGCCCATCCGGATCGTGCATTCCTCCAGAAATAAGTATCGAGTAGTCCTAATCGCGGAAAATTTACCAATCTTGGGTGAGGCCGGCGTTTTTATTTCTAACGTCAGCATCTTTGTTTTCCGTCTGGCGATCACTGTGTTGCCAATGCGTTATAAATAGTCACGCATGGGGCGGACGGATCCGAAATGTTGCTCCTGATTGTTACAGCTGGCTGGTTTATGGACAGTGCATCGTATCTTCTGGCGTTTTACCTTAACCTGACACGTAGTTAGTGAAAACTTGGAAGTCAATCCAACCATTAGCTACGTTACCATGGCACAAGCTAAGCCGATTTTGAAAAATTGATTTTCTCTATCATAGGACTTGGCATAATTTGAAAATGTAAATATGGGATTAGGTGCTTGCTGAAACCATATACGTTTTGTCGCCGACAAACTGTCGTTCGGAGTTCTTTTCTGGTTGGATGTGGACTGTATTTTATTCGGTGAGTTTGTGCGACATTCGTAGCCCGCCCGCCTGCTATGTGAGCTCCTGGGTTTTTGATGTTCGGCGATTTACAGTTGTAGATAGACGTGAAGATTTCCCGTAGAGGATTTATTGAAGTATACGCGAAGCAAGAAGCGGAAGCAGTTGTGAAGAAAACCGGTAGATGAAACACGCAGACACGGAGCACCATTCACATTCACTGTACAAATCTGAAGCACTGACACTGCCCCGCCGGGCGCGGCTGCGCGCAGGAGAGTCGGTCTGCGCGCGTGCTTCTGTACTCTGTCCCCGCTCAGCCGGGCGAGGCGTCGAGCGGGGCAGATCAGTCCGTGCGCACAGCGCGACGGTCGAAGTGAGACTCTGCCGGGGTCGTACGTGACCCACATTTTATACGCAATGCTTAAGACGTGTGCAAAACGAGTGCGAACTTGCACTGTAGCGGGGAGGTGGCTGAAGGCGCCAGCTTGGCGGCCTACGTGCCTTAAAACGACGTGTCTTTAATTTATATCTCGGTCTCGGTGGCGGCCGCGGCGCTGCTGCGTCTCGGCAGCGTCGGCGGCACGCGTACCGACCACCGGCCGCGTCTGCTCGCGGCCCCGCCCTGCACAATGCCTCACAACTCATCCTGAGTCTGGACGGGGTGACGGCGGTGCGGCGGCGGGACGGCTGCAGCGAGCGGCGGCGGCGCCGCGGTGTCACGGCGACCGGCCGGCTATCACGGCGGCACAGCGGTAGCGCGGGTTGGACCGAACACTTTCGTCGGTGACATCACTCCACCCCCGTGTTTGACCACAGGGAGAACACAAAATGACACGATCACCGACAAAGACGTTCAAACAAGTACGATATACACGCCTAAATCGAATAAACTACCAAACACAAACGGCCACATGCGCGAGTTATGAGGTTCAGGTTCAGAAGACAAACGCGAAGCACAGACGGCCATATGCGTGAGTTACGAAGCTCAAATTCACAAAGCAAAACAAGAATGAAGAGTGAGTGCGTCGGTAAGCACGCGCACGCAAAATACTCTTCCTTACTTTAACTGGTTCGGGGGCGTGGGCTCGACAGTCCACAGTAAGCCAGCATCATTTCTTGCTTGCGTTCGGTCGGCTAATGAGATGGCTGAGGAGGTGACGGGGCAAGTTCCAGAAGCGCCACCTTCGTGGCAGGCCGGGTATACGTACCACCTGCTGCCGTCTTGAGCTGTACGGCGCGGACTCGGCCGTCAGGCCCCGGGAACACTTGCAGCACGCGCGCCAGCGGCCAGTGACCTCGGGGCGTGTCAGATTCTGCTAGCAGCACCACGTCGCCGACTGCTAGGTTCCGTTGGTCAGCTTGCCATTTTCTCCTGTGGATCAGGGTATGGAGGTACTCTCTTTTCCATCTTCGCCAGAGATGGTCCGTCAGTGCTTGAACGTACCTCCATCTTTTTTTGGAGTGCAGATCCTGGCTGCTGAAGACTCCAGGGGGAAGACAACGGCTTCCCCTCCCCAAGAGATAATGGTTCGGTGTGAGAGCTGTCAGGTCTCTCACATCGTCTGTGACGTGTGTCAGCGGTCTACTGTTGATCATGCTCTCTACTTCGCAGAAGACAGTTGACAGCACCTCGTCTGTTGTCACCTCGCCGCCGAGCACGATCGATAGCGCTCTCTTGACTGCGCCGATCATTCTTTCCCATATGCCGCCCATGTGGCTCGCGGCTGGTGGGTTGAAACACCATTCGATCTGCTGCTGGCTCAGCTCGTCAGAGATCTTCTGCTGGTTCCACTGTGTTAGTGCCTCTCGGAGTTCACGTTCCCCGCTTTTCAGGTTTGTTCCGTTGTCGGAGAAAACCTTCTTTGGACGACCTCGGCGTGCCACGAACCGTCGGAAGGCCATCAGGAAGCTGTCAGTATCCAGGCTGTTGGACACTTCCAAATGAATGGCTCGCGTGGCCAGACACGTCACCAGCAGGCCGTACCTTTTTTCCGTCTTGCGGAACCGCCTGACTGTGAGCGGCCCGAAATAGTCGATCCCCACGAAGCTGAACGGATGGGAGGTGTTAAACCGGTCAGAGGGAAGATCGGCCATTCTTGGAGGCTGAGGTCTCGCCCTTCTCTTGCGACAGATGGCGCAGTCGATAAGGACTCGTTTTACCTGCGAACGACCCCTCGGAATCCAGAATTTCTGGCGAACTTCGTTCAGGGTGTGTTTTGCGCCGGCGTGCATGAGCTGACGGTGCGTTTCGTAGATGACCATCCTCGCCACATCAGAACCTGCTGGGATTAGAATGGGATGGCGAGCGTCTTCGTCCAGTGGGGCATTTCCTAGTCGCCCCCCGACTCGTAAGATGCCATCAGCGTCCAGGATTGGTGACAGGTCGGCGATGCCGCTCTTCTTGTTGAGCTGCTGACCCGCCTGTAACTGGTGCAGCTCGGTCCTGTAGGCCTCCGCCTGCACCATCTGGAGGATGGTCTTCTCCGCGTCATGGAGCTCTGACACGGTCAGTGGGCCTAGGTTTCGCTGTCGCTTCTGCTCGCCTTTCAGCTTCGAGTTGCGGAGGAAGCGCAGGATCCAGGCCACCGTGCGCTTGTATTTTGTCCAAGACGAGAATTTGCTCGGTGTCGGCAGTGCTGCCTTTGGATCCCTCACCGTGACTGTGGCGAAGGCTCCAACTTTCACTTCTACGTCTTCTTCAGCCAGCTTCTGAACGTGAAGCTGCTCTGGCCACCCTTCTTCGTCGCCTCGGAGGAAGTCTGGGCCGGATAGCCAGAGAGGGTTGTCGGCGAGCTCCTTCACTGTCTCACCCCTGGAGCACAGATCGGCTGGGTTGAGTCGTCCTGGGCAGTGCCGCCACTGACCCTTGTCTGACAGGTCGTGGATTTCTGCCACTCTGTTTGAGACGAATGTATGGAATCGTCTGCTCTCGTTGCTGATGTACTGCAGGACGACCCGGCTGTCGCTCCAGTAGGTGACCTTCTTGACTTGATCTGGTATCTCCTTTTGGAGCGCGTCCACCAATCGCACTGCGAGCACTGCTGCCTGCAGCTCCAGTCTGACGATCGACAGTCTCTTCAGCGGTGCAACTCGTGTCTTGCTCATGATGAACGAGCAGTGATGCGTGCTGTCTGGTGAGGTCGTACGGAGATAAGCGACTGCTCCGAACGCTCCCTCTGATGCGTCGCAGAAGACATGAAGCTGACGTGCTATTGTGTCACTTGATGTTGGACGGAGGCAGCGTGGGACACTGATGTTTCTCAGTGCTGGCAGTTCTTGGAGCCATTCTTCCCATTCTTTCTGCTCCTCACGATCCAGCTCGTCGTCCCAGTCCAGTTGCTTGGTCCAGAGCTGCTGCATGAACATTTTGGCTCTGATGACGAAGGGCGCGGCGATCCCCAGAGGATCGAAGATCGACGCAATCCTTTGGAGGACTCCCCGCTTTGTCATCGGGACGCTTGAGTCTCGGAATCTGAAGCTCAGACTGTCCTTTTCAGCATCCCAGACCACTCCCAAGGCACCTTGTGTGGGCAGCTCCGCTTCTGTGAGGTCTAGTTCCGGCTGTGCGCGTTTCTCTCGGGGAATGCTCT